TGCATGCACGCGGACGCGATGCCTCCGCCCTACGCGTGATAATAGTATTTTTGGTACACGGTCGTGCCGCGATAGCGCTCCCCAATTAGAATGGACACCCTATGGCGGAACGACGGATTGTTGATCGTTGGTATATCGGTGTGTTGCGTATATTGTATTTATAATGATAATTCTATTTTTGATAACTCGCTCGATTGATTATTCCATTTTAGATGTTGATCGTTCTACGAGGCCGCGTAATTTAGAATAATTTCCGTAGCTTTTAAGACGGACGTCGCGGGAACGAGCAACCGATATACGAAATCCTTTCCTTTCATTCGCGTGAGCATCGTTGTAGAACGATTTTGGTCCCATATGGTCCCACGTGAAACGTCTCGGACGTAGATCATACTTCGAAAGAAGACGAGAGAAAGAAGTGAAGAAAAAAAAAGAAGAAGAAGAAATAAACAATGGTGGAACACATAGGTAACTACGTAATTACGGGGGGGTCACTTTATCGCTTTGTGAACGGATTGCCTTTCGTGAAACGGACGTAGAGCCTTCTCGAGCCGAACGTGTAAACGCGATTCATTGGCATTCTGTATTTAAGTATACGGTGGTGCATAATACGTACGATATATAGCAAAGGTCTTTTTATTATTATACATCGTATCGTCGATCCGAACGATCGATCTCAGGTGCGTCCGAGATTTATTCTAATTAATTAAATTCTAGCAAGCTCATTGTTCGTAAATGTCGTGCCAATAGCGAACGGATAAAGGGAGAAGGAACGAACAAAAAAAAAAAGAAAAAAAAAAAAAAAGAAACAATGCGTGCCAAAAGATGATGATAACGAGCAACGGGACGAGGATGTAGCGTTTTAAAAAGGATGCGAAAGAATTTGAGAGACCGGAGGCTGCGAACCTGCAGTCGGATCTGCTCGATCGTGTATACTCTTTCTTTTTCGAGTTGTTCCTTCGTTCGAGTGATTCGAGTGATGATTAATTAATTAACGGCCGTGTTTTCCGACGACGATGAGTGAAGACAGAACGAGGATATCGATCGAGCATCTCCGTCTCGGTACGGAATTATACGAACTAGTTGTTACAATCTTTTAACTGTTGAATTTTTGCAGTAGATGGTAAGTGTCTTAAACGTACACCTTATATAAACTACACGATAATATATTCTATATTAATGTTTCTTAGATTTACGTACGTAAATCGATCGTCCGCGAGCTTTCGTCGATCATTGTCGTCGCACAGCGCACTCAGAACGCAATAAACTTAACGAATCGTAGTCTCCGTAAACGATTATTGTACAAATTTGTCGAACGATATTTGTTCGAATCGAATTGGACTTTCCCGTCGTTGACATGTTTCCGAGTGCAGTCCAATCCTTGTTTCCAAAACCGACGATTTTCTACGCAAAGCCATCGGATCGATCGATTCTGGACACCTTCGACGAATTGACACCCATACCTGATCGCAACACTTGTTACGTGCTTAATACTAATTGGACAACTCTGTCGTTGACAGTGTGAATACTCGGAGACAAAATTGCCAAACTCCGTGATGCAATTTCTTTTTTTTTTTTTTTTTTTTTTTTAATTTAAGTTTATCGCAGAGAATCCGCCAATTTCTCGCGTGATGAAGATACTATCGAGTGCAAAGAAGGACGAGGCAGGTGTTT